TGGAAGACAGCATTTTCATGAACAATTCTAAGTGCCCTTCACCCTACATTGAGGAAAGCACCAGTCTTAGCAATTCTGTGGGGCTCTCAACCATTCTGGTCTAGCTCTTCACATTTTATTGGTAAGTCAGGTGGGAGATGAAAGGTCTAGAGAACCAGACCCCATCAGTCAGGTCCATCACCAGGGCTGATTTGTGCTCGGCTAAAGGGAAATGCTCAGAGATCCATTCATTCAGACACTGGCTGTGGGAGCTGCTTAGCTAAAGGGAAACATCTGAAGTTGTAAGACTTAGACACCAGTGAGCCACTGATCTATTTGAAGGACGTTTTGATCTGTCTGTTCTTCAGTGGCTGAGTGGGACGCCAGTTGTCCACCATCAGTTCTTCAGGTTCACCCTCCTTATTGAAGTTAAGACTACGGAATTTCAACATCTAAAAGACAAAATAAAAAAAAAATAAGTCTCACGGCAAGCTCTGGTGGCCTAGTGGCAAAAAGGTACACTGCAATCCCAGAGGTGCGAGGTTCGAATCCACCAGATGTTCTGCTGGAGAAGGAGGGACAATCTCCTCCTGTACATGATTTGAATTTGTACATGATGTACAAATCAGTCAGATCTGATTTGACGGTACACACACACACACACACACACACACACACACACACAAATAATAAAAAAATAAGTCTCATACTAATATTCATGTTTGTGCTTGAGCTATGGCTTGAAATGCATTCCCCAATATTCACAGCAGTATCATGTCAATGACCAAAATTTAATTAGCTCCTCAACGGATTGCATATTGTTGTTGTTGTTATGTGCCGTTGAGTCACCTGTGACACATAGCGACCCTATGTACAACAGCCCTAAACTCCGCTCTGTCCTGTGCCAACCTCACTGTCTCCGACACACCTACTCCAATTACCCCAGTCACTGAATCAATCCATCTCATTGAGGGCTTTCCTCACCTGCACTGTCCCTCCACCCTACCAAACATGATGTCCCTCTCTAAGGACTGGTCACTCCTTGCAACATGTCCAAAGTATGTCAGACGAAGCTTCAGAATCCTTGCCTCCAAGGAGCAGCCTGGCTTCACCCTCTCCAGGGCGAAACTGTTTGTTCTCCTAGCAGGCCATGGTATATTCGATACTCTTCTCCAGCACCACAGCTCAATAGATTTTATAAATATGTGGTGTTGTTATTATGTGCCATCAAGTTGAGACCAACTTATAGCTGAACCTCCAGTGTATTTTCAGAGACTGTAAATCACATGAGGGCAGACTGCCCATCTTTTTGCCACAGTGCTGCCAGCAAATTCAAGTCATGTGCCTTCAGGTTGGCAGCACAACTCCTTACCAGTAGGCCACGAGAGCTCCTATGCTCGTGGAAACTCTATGAACTTTGAGAAACAATGATAGTTAGATAAAGGCTTATGAGTCATGCTCAACTTGATGGCAATCAACAACAGTGGCTAGAAGCTGCACTCCAAAACTGAAGTCATGTGGTTCAAGGCTACCAGCTGCTCCATGGGAGAAGGATGGGCAATCTCCTTCCATGCGATTAGCGGCCACTGAAAGCCTGTCAGAGGGTTGGCTATGGGAGGTTCCAACTCAAAGCACATAACAACAACATGCTTTACTACAACAAATAAGATTTATACATATTATATATACATATATAGTATATAGAAATATATACATATTGCCTATATATCTATATGTTGTTGTTAAGTGCTGTCGAGTCACAGGTGACTCATAGCGACCCTATGAAGGAGAGTCCTCAACGCTAATTTGATATAAAAAAACATTTATATATAAGAATATTGGTATTCTTAGAAGGGAATTTTCAATGACTTTGTCTTTTCTTATTTTAAGTTTTAAAAGCAATCATCTAAATTCTGACAACTCACATCTCTGAAATGCAGAACAGTCATTCTGGATTTTAATCGAAGTTTCGCATTCTGACTACTGCAAACTCCTGAGTCAGAGTAATGAACTGGCAGTGTTACTTAAAAATACTGATACATAAGAACAAATTTTTCCCAAACTGAGATTCCAAATCCTCACCGATAGTTATTTCTGGTTCTCTTTTATACTGTTTCAGTTTTCTAGCCCAAATCTGTAACACATGTGGTCCTCAATCTAGCTCCCATTTCTTCTTCAAGAGTGTTCTGTTTCGTTGCTGTTTTTGTTTTATACTTTTTTCCCCTCTAACTCATTCTTTCCTTTTCCCAAGAAGAGATCTGAATGAAGAGAGTACTCTGGGGACTAATATGTTCTTGCTATTGGCTGCTATCAAGTTGATTCCAACACACAATGACCCTGTGTACAACAGAACAAACAACACTGACTGGTTACCACTCTCACAATCACAGCTATGCTTGTGGCGACAACATTGCGTGGCCCGTTACCACTCTCACAATCATAGCTATGTTTGTGGAGGACAGTGCTCCCATTTTCACTGCAGTGAAGGTCTTCTTTTATGCTGACCTTGATAATATTTCCACAGTATGTGAGACATACTCTTGCTATCCTCTCTTCAAAAGAACATTCTAATTGTACCTCTTCAAAAACAGACTTGTTCATCCTCTGGCAGTCTTTGGCATAATTCAGTCTTCTTCACCAACACCTTAGTGAAAAGCATCAACTCTTCTTTGGTATGCTTTTGTTGTTATTCAGCTCTTGCATGCATATGACTCAACTCAAACCCATTGCTATTAAGTGGATTCCTCTCAGCGAGCCTCCACTGGGTTTTCAAGGCCATAAGAGAAGACTGCTGATCAGTTCAAATTACCAGAGATACTCAGCCTTTGGTTAGCACCATACCACACTATGGAGGGTTGCCAGAAGTTGGAACTGACTTCATGCAGTGAACTTCCTATAATGTTGTTGTTGTATACCATCGAGTCGGAACTGACCCAAAGCTGACCCAGTGGCAGGTTTTTAGAGGCAGTTAATCACACAGGAGGAGACTGCCTATCTACCTACCACAGAGCATGTGAATTCAAACCATGTACCTTTTGCATTGGGAGTGCAATTCCTTACCACTAAGCCATCAGATCATGTATATGAGGCAAAACGAACAGACCATGGCTTGAGTCTGGTGCATTTTAGTCTTCAAAGTGCCATCTTGGTTTTTTAACATTTTAAAAAAATAACTTGGTCCATTAATATTCCCCTAACCATCTTCATAAAATAAATTCCAACACGTTTTAGATTAAAACTTGAACACCACATTAACAGACAAGAAGTGGTATCACAATCTTTGTTTCAAGACAACCGCACAAGTATTTTATGAGTATGAAGTCAATTTTCAAGTCACATACAAATCAAGCACACTGTTTTCTTTGGTACACTATGAGATATGAACATAAATTTTCAATGTCAGAAGTAGATTTCCTTCAAAAAAAATATTGTGTCAAATGCCGATCCACTCAATTTCTGAATGAACACACCGAACACAGAAGCATGAATTTCCTTGTACCTCAAGTACATATCTGTAAAATGAGAAGCTGCATAATGTCATCCCCATTATGCATTCCTATGATTCCAAATTTAGTGTTGGAATATTTTCACTCTATTTTAGATTTAAATCTCCTCAACCTATCTAGCTTCCAAATACCTATGGGTCCTACCAAGGAATGCCCATTTTCTACACTTAACAGTGTGCTGACAGAGTTAGTCTAGGGAAAAGAGACAGTCTAGTCAGTGAGGCTCATTTCTGTGCATACTCATCTGTGACTTCGCTGTAATTATTTATCACTTGAACTCACAAACTACTTATGTAGGAGTCACTAAAATGTGGGAGTCTTTGGTCTAAGCCTCTAAACCACCCAGAATGAGCAATGAGCACCGATAGATACTCTGCTCCAAGAGATGGCTATTACTTTTGCTAGTATTCAAAACCAAAACCTGATCTAAATAACATTGAAGTCAGTTATGGTGTGCATGAATCTCTCTCTCTCTCATCAACACCTCTCTCTCTCTCTCTCTCTTTCATTTATTGTCAGAACCAACTCAAAGAGTCAAGAGTGGAGCCTCCATTGATTTTTCCAAGGCTGTAAATGCCACAAGAGAAGACTGCACATCATTCTCCCATGGTGCTACTGGTGGATTTGAACCTCCAAAGACGTGTGATCTCTGGGTTAACAGTGAAACCCCTTTAGGACTCCAGCACCAAGCTCCTGGATGCGATAGAGTACGGCTGGAAATGATTTCATAACCATGCAACCTTGAAATCTTCCTTCTCTGGGCTTCAGTGTCTTTACAGACTACAAAATAGTGTTTATTAGATACATACACCCTTCTCACTGATCTATTGAATGTCATTCATTTGCCAGACACTGTCATGGGCATTAGCTTCCATAGCATGGAGTGCAGGGGGATTAAGATTCAGGTCTGCCTGACTCCGGAGGTCAGCCTCTGGGTCCGAATGTTCCTCCTTTCACAACACACCACTTAGGAGAAACTGACCTGCTCACTGCTGACGGTGATGGGCTCCCTTAACACAATCCAGGTTACACACTCCAGAAGTGGAGGGGTGGTCAGGGAGCCCAGATAGGTCCAGTAGTCTAAGCTTTGAGGAAGGAGGCCACGAGGATCAAAGTTAGTGAAGTCGGCACTTTTCCCCTGAAAAAAACAAATTGTACAGGTTAAAAATGTCACATGATCAGCCTAAGAGGAAGGAAGGAGAGTAGGGAAGCCATAAAGCTATATTTAAAGAGTTTACATACCTTTGACAGATGAAAATAGGAAATAAAAAACAACAGACTTTTAACTTGGAAAGAAGAACTGGAGATTATGAGTAAGCAAATCTAAATAGTATTTTCATCTGTTGATTTCTCCTTTTATCTTCTAAAGCAATCTTTTCTATTTGCCACTAAGGCATAAACTTATCATACCCAGTATTTACAGTTAAGACCATTAACAGGGTACAGTTTTAGGTGGCAGTTAATAGGACTTCAACGTCTTTGATGATGACCTGATTATTCTATTAGCCCCTTTGACAGCCAAATCAGAATTAAGAACAGCATTTAGTTCTGGATGCCACACTTTTGAAGAGACAGATGCAAACAAGAATGAATTACTGGGAATTAATGTCAAACAAAATGTGTATGAATGACTGAATGGAAATCTAATAAGCTTTGTAAACTTTCCCTTAAATTACAATTAAAGGGGGAAAAGGAGTTACTAGTAGAGTGACAAAGTTGTCTCAAAGACAGATCTAGGTCATTCAACATCAATTTAAAAGAAACTGGAAATAATTTGCTTGGTGGGGAGGGGCTATGAAAGACAGAGTAGGGTCATCTGGAAGAGGGACCTGGTTTATTCTATTTGACTTAGGGGTTCAAGGTAGAAGAAATGGGAGAACATTTCAGAAAACAGATGCTACTTCAATTAGAGGATGAGCCGTATAAAGCATAGATTCCCCAGCACTGAAGTGACTGCAATGTTTAGGCTCAATGATCTCATCAGAGCTATGCTACAAAGAGGACTAAACATGGCTGAACAAATTCAAATTAATCACAGGATATAAAGCTCCAAGCAGCAGAGCCTTGTTTGCCTTATTCACGTTTGTATCCCCTGGGTTAGCAATCTGACTTATATGTAATAATATATATTTTGTTTATGAGTAAGTGAACTTCATTCTCTGAATAAGAGGGCCTTTCAGCTTTCTTTTACAAGTGATCCAAAGAAAGAGTAAATATAAGTCTCAGAATTATGCTAGGATTAGGACCTGATTTTGGATGAAGAAAGAGTTGTTATACCCAATCTTTCCTCTTTATTTACTGCTCATGTGAACACCATATGCAGGACTATTCCAAAACTTTTTTTTTAAATGGGTACTTAATGATGAAGCCAATTTAACTTTACCTTTGTCTTAATGGTATCCAGCATATCAAGAACTTTCTGAAGGCCTTGGTTAGCACTGCCAATCTGCAGAGAAGACAAAGGACAAAACGCCGTAGTCCATTTGGTATTATGTTCATTTTAATTTAGATGGTGCCATCATAAAATTTCCCCACACTGTGACTCAAAATCTATCCATTTATAATTGTCACACATCAGTCTGGGTTTGAGTACATTGGTGCCATAAAGGATCCTACTCACTGAATCTCTACCCTGCCTCTACTTCTACCTCAGAAACAACCCTTTTTAAAGTCCCCACTGACCTCCAAAAAAAATGCACCCCCCAAAAAAATGCTCCTCAACTGCTCATCTTAAACATCCTATAGGATTTGACACTTATCAGTCTTCCTTTTAAAAGGTCTTGCTAGTTCTCTTTTATTGCTGTCTTTTTTTTTTTTTATATGTGTACCATCAAATTAGATCTGACTGGTACAGGAGGCGATTGTTCCTCCTTCTTCAGCAGAGCGCACCTCTGGGATTGCAGTGCAGTTTCCTGCTACTAGGCCACCAGAGCTCACCGATAGTTCTCTTTTACATAGCTTTTTTATAGTTTCTTGTGCTTTCTAGCCTCTGGGTTTCTCTTTATACTTCTAGTCCCTTTTATTCATGGCATCTCTTTCACTGCCTCAGTGTATCTACTTCAGAGTTTCTTAGAGTTCTATCCTCAACAGGGGCTCTGGACTACTGCTAAGCAGGTTCACTGCCAACTCAAAGACATGCAGTTCAAATCCACCTGTATCTGCACTGGAGAAAGATAAGCAACCTCTTCCCATGTGATTAAACTTCCTCTGAAAACCCACTGGTGGTCTGCTACAGGTTGTTTCTGCCTCGCTCATACACAACTGCAACAATGCTTTCACTTCCACATACGTGCTTAGTAGCCATGAATATCCAGTCTGGCCTTCCCCCACTCAACAGCTGTTGGAGGGCAGTTCCACGTGTATATATGGCTGGTTTTTGGTTGTTGTTACATGTCATCAAGACTCATAGCTGATCCTCCAAGGTGTTTTTAAGAAGACTGCCCTTCTTTCTTCCTCAGAGCAGCTGGTGGATTTGAACCGCATGCCTTTGGGTTGGCAGCACAACTCCCTACTCACTAAGCCATCAAAGCTCTCTGTATGACTGGTACCTAAAACTCTCCAGAATCAAAGTTCACATCTTCAGTTCTGAGTTTCTAACATACAAGGTCACCATAAGTCAAATGAACTCAAAAGCAACCAGCCTTTTTTTTATTCATGAAATAATAGTATCTAGGATAAAGTTAAAGGTCCCAGTTAGCACAAACAACTTGCACGTGGCTAATAATCAAAAGGGTAGAGGTACAAACCCACCCAGGAGCCCCCCAGAAGGAAGGTCCTATCAATCAGCTTCCACAGAGATGATCTCTAAGAAAGCCCTGTGGAGTAGTTCTACTCTGCAATACTCTACATCCTTCACACTCATGTCCAAATAGGTATCCCTCACTACTTTGTATCCCTCATTACTTTGGTCTCTCATTTCACTGCTACTTGGTACTATGGAGGGGAAAGTTCAACTGAGAATACTTCAAAGGCATTTCCTAAGCTCTCATGTTGGATTTCCTGTTTGTTATGAATGTCCTGTCGGCTCAATCTTTCTTGACAACAGGAAAAAAGAATTAAATATCAACTAACCTTCAAAAATATACCCAACACAGCCAATCCATCAGGTTGTTGCACAGCTTTTCCAAATTCCCCATACTTGGTGTTCCAATGAACTAAGTGAAGCTGAAATCACAGGGGGAATAACAAAAACCAGATCACACACAGAAATGATTTTGTGTATAAAAGACAACATATTTTATCCAATTACTTTTTCTTTATATTAGGCTGCTGAAGAAAATGAAAACATGTGGACAATTTAAAATAGAATTAATAATAATAATAATTAATTATAATTATTTACTAATTGGCATAATAGTTATTTCATTAGGATCTCAAAGACAAATGTCCATTTTTGAAAACTCAAATTTTCTTTCTGTTATATTGACAGATCTTACAATTATACTGTAAGTGGGCACATGGGTCAAATGGTGTCTTTGGAGACAGTAAAATGTTTCTCAGCCCTTTGTGTAATACCTCAAAGTTTATAAGAAGTAAATGTGAATATTCTTTGTGAAATACATGACTGACCTAGATTGGATAAAATTTACAAAATTAATTTTATTTTCAAATTAATACTGGAGCCAATGTCTACAGAAAGAAAAACCACCACATCTGACCTCTGCAGCGTACTTCTGAGAATCCACTGTGTGCTCGGAACCCTGACCATCAGACGAGCCCCAGTGAAAGTGAAACTGTATCAGTCGGTAAGTCCCATCGAGGGGTCCTCCTCTTAGAACTAAAAAAAAAAAAAGGACATTTAAAAATAAGTCTTTTCAACCAGAATCTGCTCCTTAGAAGCAAGGACAGCAAGGCTTTGGCTTGCTTATTTTGGACATGTCACCAGGAAAAAACAAGTCACTGCAAAAGGACATCCTATTGGTAAAGCGGAAGGTCAGCAAAACCAAGGGAAACCTCCAGCGAAATGGGCTGAGACCAGAGTTACAATCCATAACAGTGGACTCAAACACATCAGTGATCAAGGTGTTACAGGAGCAAGCAACAATTCCCTCTCTCACTGACATAAATACACTCTGTGTGTGTGTGTGTGTACACAAATACAAGTATCAATGCACATGTATAAACATACACATATATTAATGTGCATGCATACATGAAATATATATTACCAAATAATACTCTCTTTAATCCTGTTCCATGGTTCTAAAATTACTCCTTTACAACACTTGATTCAAAAATTAAGCCCAGATTCAGGTTTACTCCACCATGCTGAGCAAAATCATTTCAACAGGCTTTGTCCTCATTCATCCTGGCTGAAGTGTGATGCTTTCCTCCTCACTATTTTCTGAGCACAATGACTTAACTCTTTCTGGTTTTGTAGTAAAATCACAGGGAGAGGATCCTTTAAGAGGGACCACTGGCGCTGAGAATCAGTTAGGAAGTGTCTTGCTAGCCCAGGCATCGATTGGTCAGCCACACAAAATGAGCAAATGAGTGCTCTTCTCCACCAAGACTGAACAACCGCCTGCACTGCTAACCCTGGTACCAGTTCTTGCAAATCAGAATTTGTGAAATGGGTATTTTGTTGACTTTAATGACAAAAAATTTAATCGTTCTCACGTAGGCTTATGAATGCCTTAGAATTTCAACTCTCATTACCATCAACAAGTTTGTCTCCTTTAAACTTTTCTGCTTACCTTTTCTGACCTTAATTTCCTCATGTGAAATGGATATGCTAATGCTTTACTATAGTAAGAATTTACTGATTATCTTGTGTATGCAGAGTATTAAACTGTATTATTTCTAAGAACTGAAAATTTTAATTTCAATAACTATTCTAAAATGTTACTCTTCAGTTATTAGCGCAACCTCATCATCATAAAACTATAATAAGAAATCACATTTTTAATTGTGGCTATACAAATAATTGTCTGGGATTTAAGAATGTGATTTCTAGTAATGATTTTACTGTATTAAAATGACACTAAGACCTGAATAGTAGGTAATACCATTATCTACTAATAGTATTAGATCTCTGCAGTCTACAGAGAATAGATAATTCTCTGTAGTCTCCTGAACTGTGTCTTGAAGGGATATATAAATTAGCAGAAAAATGCCTCCTATCCAGGGAGAAGGGGGCAGAAAAAGGGGCAGGACAGAAATCGTTAGGATAGCAGAGGTTAGTGGGCAGAAGGGAGGGTTCGTGAAGGAATAGGAAAGATTCAGTGGGGACTCAAAAAGACAGGGTAATGACAGGCATGGATCAATAGTAATTACATAAAACAGCGTATATCAATGTATGTACATGAAAGTTTACATGCATGAAACACAATGATAAAATGCGAACCAATTAAAAAAAACATTCCTATATACACACATTCATATATATACACACACATATTTATTTAGCTCATATATATTAATTCTAATTAGCCAATATATTTCCAATACAAAGACCAAACCCATTGTTTCTGAGTCAATTCCAACTTAAAGTAATCCTCCATTGGACTTCTGATGTTGCAAATCTTTACGGGAAGAAGACTGCCCATCTTTCTCCCTCAAAAAAAAGATGGTGGATTCAAACTATTAACATCAAGTGTTTTTATATTAGTTTCATTCTACCACTTTAGTTTCATTCCTCTAAAATTTAGGTGGGTTAAAACATTTGTTGCTACAAATGTGTGCTTATTAGCTTTGGTTTACAATTCTATAAAATAATGATCCCTTTGGCTTTGCAAAACAAAGGAAGAAGGTATGTACAACAAAGTTGGTTTACTTAACCAGATATGCTTAGATGGTAGGAACACCCATTCATCTATTCAAAGTCCAAATAAAACTGGCAATGCGGCAGTTAGGCTCTGTGTTTCCTGTTAGCAAGACCTCTGCCTGTCAGCTCTGCCTCACAACAGGCAGGAGGTAGAACATATTGTGAATGATGTTGTAACAGATCTTTTAAAGAAATACTCATTTCTATGTATTCTGATTCAAATTGCATCTCCTGAAACACAAAACTACTTAACTGTAAACATTTATTTTACCACCTAATTCTCTAAGGAAAGAATTTGCCTCAATTCCAAACTAAATTTGTTTCATAAGTAAACAAATTCTCACTTGTTTCATAAAGTAACAGGCTCATAAAAAATAAAATACATTGATAAAATAAAATGATACTGAAAAAAATTATGACATCTTTTTACTATTAACCAATTGAATGATTATAACAAACAAATAAATTTGTAGCATCCTGAACTCCACAAAGTGGCAAAATTAATAAAGCCACATCAAGTATCTGAAAAAAATGTTCTTTCAAAATTTATCTCTCCTCTCCCCCCATTGCCTGTTTCCCGAAAAAGTGCACAAATAGATCTGAAATCCTAGTAAGAATAAACCTTACTGCTATTTCTTACTCTTGTTTTCTCCTTTGCAGATTTTTTTTTTTCCTTTGCAGATTTTAACATTTAACCCTAACTTAATTGTTTCAGGAATCCTTTCAAATTAGAGAAGGGTGCATCAGCTTTTATGTTTTATTAAGTATTAATTAAAGTTTGTTACCGGTAAAAAACGCAGGCGACTCGACGGCACATAACAACAACAACAAACCAGTAAAAAATGCTGGGTTTAATGTTTACATTCTATACTAATTTACTATCACAGATACCTGTTTTAGCCCCTGTTAACGTATGCATGTAGACTGCCCACTGTAATTAGAAAAAGTTATTAAATTCTTAAAGTTTCATCAAAAGAGAAAGAAGCATTCCCAGTCTTCTTCAAATAGCTGGTTACTCTTCAGCAAATTCTGGTGCCAGACCTTAGTTCATGAAGCTCCCCCAAAACATTGTTATAATAATAAATTTTCTTAATTTTAATTACAAAGGTAGTTTGCAACCTTTCGAGAACTAGAAATGACAATACTTTAAACAATCTAGGGTTTAAACCAAGATTAAACTAGGAATTAAACCAAGCGAGGCAATATGCACTGTACTCTGGTACTACTTATAATTGTGTGTTTTGATTATTGTATAATATTTTCTAAACTAACAAGATTTAAAAGTAAATCTAGTTTTCTAATACAAAAATATTTTTATTGAGATTTTAATGAAAGTTTATAAAGCTCTTGGATTTCCACTCATTCATTGTTGCACATTTTCTTCCCTGCCCCCTCATCACCACCACCCCAGTTTGCTTTTTTCTTTGGAAAAAGTTATTTCATTGTTATACAGTCCTCCCCACCACCACCACTTTACTATGCAGCTTTTTTTTAACTCTTGTCATGCCAATAATACCTAATCACACCTGCTTCAATGCCATGTACATTATTTATCCCCTCTTTCTTTAGTTTCTCCCCAACTCTCATGTCAGTCCTCTTTTGTAACAGTGGCATTATGCAGTATTTGTCCTTTTATGACTGAGATATTTCACTCAATATAATGTCCTCTATGGTCACCCATTTTGTATATTTCATGAGGTTTTTTTTCTCAGTGCTGCATACTATTCCATTGTGTGAATATACTACAGCTTCTCCATCCATTCATTTGTTGGTGGGCAATTGGGTTGTTTCCAACTCTTTGCTATTGTGAACAAAGCAGCCATAAACATGGATGTGCATTATATCTGTTTGGGTGGCAGTTCTAGTTTCTTTAGGGTACATTCACAGTAGTGGAATTACTACTGGGTCAAATGGTATTCCTATTTCCAACTTTGTGAGAAAGTGCCATGCTGCCTTCCATAGTGGTTGCACCATTTTACACTCCCACCAACAGTGAATAAGGGTTCCCGTTTCTCCACAACCTCACCACCTTTTGTTGTTTGCTGTTCTGTTAAATTATGCTATTCTTACTGGAGTGAGATGATAACTCCTAGTAGTTTTGACCTGTATCTCTCTTAGAGGTAGGGATTTTGGACCTTTCTTTATGTGCTTGTTTGGCCATCTGAATGTCTTCTTTGGTGAAGTGTTTATATCCTGTGCCCATTTTTCAGCTGTGTTGTTTACTTTTATCTTGTTGTGATGTACAAATATCCTATAAATTCCAGATGTAAATCCCTTATCAGACATGTTATTACCAAATAGTTTTTCCCCAGGCTGTGGCTTCCCTTTTTACCCTGTTTTTATCCAAGTTTCTGGATGTGCATAGGGATTTAATTCTTAGAAGGAACCATTTATATATTTTATTGTCTCCCAGTTGTAGGCCAAAAATATTTTTAAGGTAGCAAAAACTATTAACATTGCAAAAAATGGCTGCACTTTTTTTCTCTCTGTAAAATCTGACCATATTGGTAGGAGCTTTAAAGAGTTTCTTTAAAGATGAAAGTCTTCCATGAGAGATGAGGAAATACCATGGAATTTTCTACTCTATTTTCTTTGGTAGTCTAGTGGGTGGAGTTGCATTACCAATCCATGGGCACAAAGTTTGAATCCATCTGTTGCTCTGTGGGAGAAAGATGGACAATCTTCTACCATGAGATTTACAGCCTCTGAAAACCCACTGAAGGGTCAGCTATGAGTTGATTCTGAATTAATACATCTAACAACAACAATGTCTTTGTCAAGGCTTCTTAAATTTATTGTAAATTCAATTCTCCACATCAAGCTGCTAATTCTCATGATCGATCAATAATTATACACACTACTATATTGATAACGCACAAACTACTACAGAATAATCTTCTGATACATATTATTTGGGTAGACTATGTAAGCTATTATTTGAAGAGGGAGGGATCTCTCATGACCACAGAGAGTTGCACTGCTAAGCCAAAGGCAGGTGGTTCGAATCCACC